AAATAATGAAATGTAACAGTGGAAAATAGGGGGAGGGAGAAGAAAACCTCGTGATAGTTGCGGTAGTCACTTTTCGAGGTAGGGGCTTGTGTTCTGTCAGCCAAAATAAACAGAATGTCACAAGTATAAATAAAACTTGCGTTCCTCCGCACACCCGTCGGTTTTGTGTGCGGTCGTTTGGTCTTGTCTATTCCAAATCAAAACCAAAACTGTCATTGCTCTTTAAAAATTATTACTTTCATTTCAATTTTCAAAATAAAAATATTTTTATCTCTTTTTTAATTTAAAAATACAAAAATAATATTATTTCAATTCCTGTTCATCATCTTTTCAATTCTCATCAATTCTTATCAATTTCCAATTAATATTTCATCGAAAAATACGAAAATATGCAAAAATTGGAGAAATAGAGAAAAAATGTATCGTTGGTCATGATCGTTAAGGCACCGCTCCCTTAGGAAAAATGTCAAACGTTCGATTCCTCACGGCGAATTTTTTTTCAAATTTTTATTCGTCTCCTTTCTTGAATATAAATAAAAGTCAAAAAAAATTAAATTTCGAACAAAAGAAGAAAATATAAAAAAATAATTTTTTCCCCGCAAACATTGAATTTTTTTTTTCATTTTTTTTTACTGTGCACACAGCTGCGGTTCGTCGGACACGTGACCAGGTTCGTTAATATTTTATTAGCGTTCCTTTTTTTTCACGGACTGTCGCTTCTCCAATTTTAGAGCGTTTCGTCATGCAATTGCCCAAATGTTTTGCCACATTTTACTGCAATACGTGAATGAATGGTTTGGGAGGGTAGAGAGAACCTGAAACGTGGCGCGGTTAGTCGCAAAATTTGTGCATCAGTGATGCAGTGTTCGCACTCACCGATCCCACCACCATTTCATCCATCTAGCCCTCTCCCCCCACCCCACCTCACTCCCAATCTACTCTAAACCACCCCCAAACTAAAATTCAAAACCCACACGACTATTTATTACAAATTCATACATGTCGTGTAAAAATAAAAATAAAAAAATTCTTTACAGTAATTAAAATTACATTAAATTTGAAAATTGCTGGAATTTCCAATTTTTTCTTTTTTTAAATTAATTATAGTTACTATGGCAAATATTCACTACTAGTAATAGTTACTAATGCAAATATTCACTAGTAGTAATAGTTACTAATGCAAATATTCACTACTAGTAATAGTTACTAATGCAAATATTCACTACTAGTAATAGTTACTAATGCAAATATTTACTACTAGTAATAGTTACTAATGCAAATATTCACTACTAGTAATAGTTACTAATGCAAATATTTACTAGTAGTAATAGTTACTAATGCAAATATTCACTACTAGTAATAGTTACTAATGCAAATATTCACTAGTAGTAATAGTTACTAATGCAAATATTCACTACTAGTAATAGTTACTAATGCAAATATTTACTAGTAGTAATAGATACTACTGACAATAGTCACAACTAGTAATGTTTACTACTAGTAGTAGATAATACTACAAATAGTCCCTACTAGTAACAGATACAACTGCCAATAATCACAGCTAGTAATAGATAATATTTCAAATACATAGTCTCTACTAGTAAAAGTCACTACAAGTAATAGATACTTATATAAATAGTCACTACTAGTAATAGTCACTACTGCAAATAGTCCTTACTATTTGTAACTTAGTTATAAATACTACCTAGCAAAAACACTACTAGTAATATAAATTAGATAGTCACAACTAGTATTAGATCATACAACAAATAGTCCCTACTAGTAATAGCTACTACTGTCAATAGTCACAACTAGTAATATAAACTACTGTCAATAGTCACAACTAGTAATATATACTACTGTCAATAGTCACAACTAGTAATATATACAACAGTTAATTGTCACAACTAGTAATAAATAATACTGCAAATAGTCCCAACTAGGGATACTAAAGTTACAACAAGTAACTTACTGAGTTACAACAAGTAACATATACTTACGTAAATAGTCAGAACTAGTAACAAATAATATTACAAATAGTCCCTACTAGGAAAAGTCACTACAAGTAATGGATACTAATATAAATAGTCACTACTAGTAATAGTCACTACTGCAAATAGTCCTTACTATTTGTAACTTAGTAATAAGTACTCCAGAAATAACTACTAATAATAATAGTTATTAATATTAATAATAATATTAATAATAATATTAGTTATTATTATTAATAATAGTTTTTCACGACTAATAATAGTTATACTAGAAATATAAAATACTAATACAATTACTACTAGTAATATTAACTACTACCATAAATTACAAATAGTAAAAATTTTCTAATACTAGCAGTGACAAATAGTAAAAGTAACTAAAAAGAGTTTTTAATTAATAGTTACTAACAAATAATAGTAACTATTATCAATATTTAAATCTAACAATAGTAACTATTATTAGTTAAATCTAATAATAGTTAATACTAGTAATTTTAGTTACTATAAGCTGCAGTAACAAACAATAAAAGTTATTACTAATAGTAGTTACAACTACTAGTAATAAATAGTCACTCCGAATAATAATAAAGGTTATCAACTACTTATTAGTAGGTTTCAACTACTTATTGTTACTACTACAAAAAGTAACAGCTACTGATAGTTAATAGTAATAATAGTTACTACTAAAATAGTTACTAACAATAGTGGGTACTAGTAGGAGTAATAAAAATAGTAAAAATTTCTACTAATAGAAGTTATAAATACTAATATTTATAATTAATATAAATAATTACTCTAAAATTTATAACTACTATTGATACTAAAAAAATTATTATTGATGAAAAAAGTAACTACTAGTAATTACTACTAATAATTATACTATTAATAATAGTCACTACTAGTGATATTTACTAACTGAAGTATTACAAAAAGTAAAATTTTCTAATACTAGCAGTGATAAATAGTAAATTTAACTAATAATAGTTATTAATTACTAGTTTACAACTAATAATAGTAACTATTATCAGTAATAAAATCTAATAAGATTAGTAATATTTACTATAAGCTGTTGTAACTAACATTAAGTTATTACTAATAATAATTACAACTACTAATAATAGTCACTATGAATAACACCTAATGCTTTTAATTGTTTCAACTACTTATTATTATTACTACAAATAGTAATATTTAGTAATAGTTAATAGTAACAATAGTTACTACTTAAAATAAATGCTAATAGTAATAGGTACTAGAAGGGGCAGTAGAAATAGTAAAGTTTATTATTAATAATAGTTACTACTAATAATTGTAGCTAGTATTGATAGTTACGACTAATAGTTGTTACTACTATTTATAGTTACTACTAATAGTTATTACTACTATTGATAGTTACTACTAATAGTTCTGACTACTATTGATAATTACTACTAATAGTTATTACTACTATTCATAGTTAACATTAATAATACTCAATATTATTAATATTTACAACTAAGAATAGTAATTAGATTAATTAATAATTAATAATAATAAAAATACTAGTAGTTATAATAATAAATGAATAGTAATAATAATCATTGAAAATATTGAATAAATGTAAATAGTACTAATTACAATGATTAAAATAATGTTAATAATAGTAAAATTAATAATAATAATATTGTTAATAATAATAGTAATAATAATAATAATAATAATATAAATTCTAATAATATTTTGATAATAATGATTGTAATTCGATAGACCAATTACCAATAAATTTTGCAGTATAAATTGGTCTAATCTGCATTAAAGGTTTATGAGATATTCTGCGGAAGTTATAGTAGCAAATGTGGCTTCTTTGACTCTTTATAGTCTCTAAGATCCCTCAATTACGATAATTAATTGTCACTTAATGAAGTTGCTTTGATCTATATGTCTTCTCAGACAAGGTTATGGCTCTCAACTAAATTATCCTCCTTAGATGCAAATTCAGAAATAATTCATTAATGTTATTATAAAATTTGAATTGCAATCGGAATTAAAATTTTATTTGTCATCAAACAATTATTATTTCATTTATAATAATGAAATACTACTAATAATTACTATTACTAACTAATAATAATTGACGATGGAAATATTTACTACTACTTATAGTTATACTACTAGATATAGTTACTGTTGGTAATATTAAATATTTGTAATATTTACTAGTAGTAATAGTGACTATTAGTAATCATTACTATTTTTAATATTTACTACTAGTAATATTTACTACTAGTAATAGTTACTACTAATAATATTTACTATTAGTAACTGTTATTAGTAGTAACTGTTACTAATAGTAAATATTATTAGTAAATAATAAACAGTAAATATTAACAGTTACTACTAATAACAGTTACTAATAGTAATATTTACTACTAATAATATTTACTATTAGTAACAGTTACTACTAATAACAGTTACTACTAGTAATATTTACTACTAATAATATTTACTATTAGTAACAGTTACTACTAGTAATATTTACTACTAATAATATTTACTATTAGTAACAGTTATTACTAATTACAGTTACTACTAGTAATATTTACTATTAGTTATCGGAACTAATAGTAAAAGTTACTACTAGTAATATTTACCATTAGTTATCGACAATACTATTAATAGTTACTACTAGTAATATTTACTAGTAGTTATCGTCACTACTAGTAATAATTACTATTAGTTATCGGCACTACTAGTATCATATACTTCTACTATTAGTCCCTACTAATAATTTTTGCCAATAGTAGCAGTTGTCTCTTCTATTAGTATCTACGAATAATAGTTACTACTAATAAAAGTGAATAATAGTAATATTTATATAATGTAATTATTACTACTAGTTAGTATTTTTAATTGTGACTACTATAACTTTTCACTAGCAATAATTACGCAATTAATAGGCACTACTAGTGCCAGTTGTATAGTATCATAAGAAATTTATTATTAACAAAATAAATAGGTTAATTTACTCACGATTTCTGTTTTCACTGTCAGCGGGCTTCATTTGGATTGGATGTACCATCTGAAAAATAGAAAAAATGAAAATTTAAATATTTGTCACTAACTCTCTGTTAAGCATTCATACTGATATATTAAAGTCAAACAACAGTTGCTTGAAACTATTTTCAATTTATCGCATAATTGTCGATGCAAAAAAGAAGTGATAATAATAATAATAATGGAAAAAAAATGTTGAAACCAATAAAGTTAAATAATTTCTTTATTTTACGTTCGTTTAAATGCAAATTTAATTATTTGCAATTTTCTATAAATATAAAGGTGGAAAATAAATATAATTCAATAATGTGAAAAATAAAACAATTTAATAAATTATTAATTAATTCATTTAGTAATAAATTGTTTGCTAATTAGTTAATTTATCAAGTATTAATTAGTTAACTAATGAGATAATAATTAATTAAATACTAATTAGTTAATTAACTAGACAATAATTATATTACAACTAATAATAGCTAGTATTGAAAATAGTTACTACTAATAACATCTACTATTCAAAATAGTTACTACTAATAACAGTTACTATTAAAAGTAGTAACTAGTAAAAAAATAGTTACTATTGAACATATTTAGTACTAATAACATTCACTATTAAAAATAGTTACTAAAATAATAGTTACTACTCATACTAACTACTAGTAATAGTTGCTACTAGTAATAGTTACTACGAGTAATAGTCACTACTAGTAATAGTTACTACTACTAGTATTAATTACTACTGCTAACAATAGTTACTATTTAATAGTGGTTAAAACTACTAATAGTTACAAATACTAATAGCTAAAAATACTATTAATAGTTACTACTGCTAATAATAAAAATATTTTTCATAGTTACAACTAATAACTATAGTTACTATTATATAACTATTATATAACTATAGTAACTATAGTTACTATTATTCATAGTTACAACTAATAATATTTACTATTATAAATAGTTTCTATTAAATAGTTACTACTAATAGTTATTGCTAGTAATAGTTACTAAATGCTTCAGTAACAAATAGCAGAATTTACTTTTTAAGTAGTTTCTTTTTAATGGTGGTCAAAACGACTAATAGTTATAACTACTAGTAATAGTTAACTAATGCTATTAGTAATTGCTGGTACTAATTAGTTTATTAGTTAATACTAATAATAGTTACTACTAAAAATAGTTACTAATAGTAATATGTACTAGAAGAAGCACTAATAAATAGTAAATGTTACTACTAATAGTAGTTACAAATAGTAATAGTTAAGTCTACTACTACTACTAATAGTGCTAAATATTATTAATAGTTAAAACTACTACTAATAGTTGCTACTGTTAGTAATAGTAACTATAATTATTATTAATAGTTACATATAATAACTGTTACTATTAAAAATAGTTACTACTATTAATAGTTACTACTAATAGGAGCTACTACCCAACTACCTACTACTAATAGTTATTACTAGTAGCAGTTACTTAAAACTTCAATAACAAATAGTAAAAATTTCTATTTTAATAGTTACTATTTAATAGTTATATAACTATTAGTTGTTTCATTCATCATGAGTAGTTTAAAATATTTGTTAGTTTTTAATTTTTGAAGGAATATAAATAACTTATTATCAATTACAAAATATATATTATTATTATTATTATTAATTAGTATAAAGTAAAAAAATCTTATTGTTTATATTAATTAAAAAAAATAGTAAATTTCTAATTATTCTGCCGAATAGAGTAGAATTTTAATTATTATCATCTATTCAATAAAAATTGATGGGGAAACATTATTTTTCATTCATTAATTAAAAATAATTAAAATTGCTTGTTGGTAAATGAAGATAAATTTATAGTAAATTTTAACAATTACACGAGGTTCATAATCACCTGAAGGAATATTCTCCCTCGGGATCAAAGCTTGTATAAGATCCCTATCATGAGTGGAGGCTCATTAAGTTCGATCGATATATCGAAATGCCATTAATGTATATAGAATTGGGAGGGACCAAGATAGGATGATAGTGTGTTTACGAGAGTGAGAGAGATCGCTATATATGTCTATAGATTCACGATATCGATTGGAGATTATATGCACTAACGGTAAACGACCTGTCCTCAAGGACAATGAATTACACATGTTACACTATAAGCCAGGAAATGTATTGAGCCAATGGGATCTTTGGACACGATAAATTTTCAAACTCAAAAAATTTTAGTCAAATACATTTTTATATTTTTCTTTTCTATTTTGAAACGAATTGTTCTTTTCTCTTCTGTTTTTCATTATTTTAAATTAAACTGTTTAAGGGGGAGATTAGCATTTTTCCATTAAAAAGAATGTAAAAATTGGTTGATAATGAAATAATATTGAAATAAATAAAAAAAGAAAAAAAATTATTCTAATATTGCTTCGTTATTATAATTCATTTTTTTTTAAAACAAAAATCATTGAAAAAATGATAATTTATGATTAAAATTAGAAGAAATTAAAAAATTAACTGTAGAGATTGAGAAGAAAGGAAAAAAAATTTTTCTTAAAGTTTGGCTGTGATCGTTAAGGCGCTGTAATACTTAAATCGACATCCGGGTGTTCGAACCCCGACAAATTTAATATTTCTCGAATATTTCTTTTTTCATTAAAACATATTTTTTTGGAAAGTACTAACGACAGTTAATATTTAAAAATAATTATATTTATTTAAATATATTTATACTCATAGAAATATTTATTTAAATATATTTAAATTCACATATATATTTATTTAAATATATTTAAATTAACATAAACATTTATCTAAATATATTTATTTTTTGAATAATACTTAAATGAATAAATAATTATTCGCAACTTTAATTTTTTTTTCGAACAAAATGCGAATATCTTACTTTCCCCACTTGCGAATATAGACGGATAATAATAATTCGCCTAAAGGAAAAATACGAAGAATAAAAAGAATGAAAGAAAGAAAGAAAAAGAGAAAGCCTCTCTTCTCCTGACAAATCTGGTCACTCGGTTGGAAAACTTTCAATTTCCGGATATATCGCCATTTCAATAGTTTTCCTTGTGTCCTGCTTCCACGTTCGGTCACTATTTATTGTTTTCCATTTCGTTTCTGCGGTGAAAATGGAACAAAGATTGAAAAATTTTCAATTTTCTTTTGTCAAAAAATATGTACAGAAGAAAAAGGGAAAAAGAAAATCTACAAAACGCATTTAGAAAGAATAGAAAAAAAAGTTTTAATTACTTTTTTTTATACAAAAAATAATAATTATTTGAATTTTTATCGAATTTTACTCCGCTTACTGTTTAATGTCACGCCTACTACAAAAATAACTCCGCCTACTATCTAAAGTTACGCCTATTAATTATTTTGCTCCGCCCTCTCTTTTATGCCACGCCTACTATAAAAATAACTCCGCCTACTATCTAAATTTACGCTTATTAATTATTTTGCTCCACCCTCTCTTTTATGCCACGCCTACTATAAAAATAACTCCGCCTACTATCTAAATTTACGCTTATTAATTATTTTGCTCCGCCCTCTCTTTTATGCCACGCCTACTATAAAAATAACTCCACCTACTCTCTAATTTTACTCCTATTAACGAATTTTACTCCTCCTACTGTTTAATTCCACGCCTTCTACAAAAATAACTCCGCTTACTATCTAAATTTACGCCTATCAACGAATTTTGCTCCGCCTTCTCTTCAATACCTCGCCTACTATCTAAATTTACGCCTATTAACGAATTTTGCTTAGTCTACTGTTAAATGTCACGCCTACCATAAAAATAACCCCGCCTACTATCTAAATTTACGCCTATTAATTATTTTGCTCCGCCCTCTCTTTTATGCCACGCCTACTATAAAAATAACTCCACCTACTTTCTAATTTTACTCCTATTAACGAATTTTACTCCTCCTACTGTTTAATGCCACGCCTCCTACAAAAATAACTCCGCCTACAATCTAAATTTACGCTTATTAACGAATTTTTCTCCGCCTACTGTTTCATACCACACCTAGTATAAAATTAACTCCGGCTATTATCGAAATATTCGTTCAAGTACAGCCTGGAGTTGCACCTAATTTGAAAATTGACGCTTAGGAAGAAGTATTGCCTCGCCTACTATAAAATATCATAGTTCGTACAAAAATTTGTTCCGCCTACTATTATATTTACGCCCCTTCTCGAATTTTGCTCCTCCTACTATCTTAAGTGGGCGAAGAGGCAATTTTGGACTCTATAAGAAGGCGTGGTTGCTAGGACTATTTATCAAAAGCATTCCCACTCCTAATGTACGACACCATTAGTAAAAATGATTCTTCTTTTTCATGGTATAAAATAAAAATAATTGCCAACCAGATAGGGAGGTGCCACCACGCCCACTGTAAACAATCATTTCCTTTCTTCTTTGCCAAAAATAATCAATTTTCTAGGCGTTTAAAGCGGCCCTATCGCCCCGCCCATTAGGCAAAAAGCACTCCCCTTTCTTAAGGCGCAATAAAAATTAGATTTTTAGGGCGTGGTCACGTGCTTTTCACGCCCATTAGTTAAAATCGTTTTCCTCTTTTAAAGCAGGAGACTATTAAAATTTTCTATGCCATATAGAGGGGCGTGGTCGCCACGCCCATTTCCTAGTAGGGGGCGTATCAATAGGCGTGGTCACAATACACTAAACCAATTATTGGGGCGTGGTCGGCACGCCCATTCCCAGTTGGGAGCGGATCACGAAGCTTGGCCACAATATACTAGTCCAATTAGACTTAGGGGTGGATCAATAGGCGTGGTCACAATTCACTAACCAAATTAAAATAAGGGGGCGGAGCACGAGGCGTGGTTACAATATACTAACCCGAACTTAGGGGGCGGATCAATAGGCGTGGTCTCACCACAAATTTCATTCTTTCTCTCAATTTTTTGCATTTTTTACTCCTCAAAGATAATAAATTTTCTTTCCTCTCATCAAATAGTGATGTGTGTCAATAAACGAAAGGCGAAACGGATTATAAAATTCTTTTTT